CCAGGTTCCAGACGCCCTCCCCGCCAACGCTATTGTTGCCAACACCAAAGACATGCTCAAGCTCATGGTCGACACCTGGGAGCCCATCTTGGGCAGGTACCGCGCTCGCGCGGGCCATGACGCCGAAGCTATGCCGACGTGGGCGGACTTCTACGACGAATACGCCAAGAGCTGCCTACGCCATCACCAGCAGCCCCCTTCCACCTCACCGACGACCAACTCATCCACTTCATTCGCACCCGTTCACCGCGCCGCGCGGGGGGACTCGACGGCTGGACAACTAAGGAGGCTAAGGAGTTACCCGACGACATCCTTCGCCTCTTCGCCAGCGTCTTACGTGCTATGCAACGCACTGGCACCATCCCGAGCCCCTCCTGCACGTGCCAAACCCGTGCCTCCGAAAAGGCCGAGGGGAACTCCCGACGGACCAACGACTTCTCTCGGTTCTTTCCGTGTGGATGTAAGCGTGGGAAGCGCCGGCCTACCGTAGCCTCACGACCTGGCGGCAAGGATGGACCCATGCCACGAGCTTCGGCGCTGTTCCCAAAGCCACCATTGGGGATGTCAGCACCTCTCTCGCCCTGCGCATCGAACACGCCAGGACTTTACTCCTCCCCTTCGCTGGAGCTGCCCTTGACCGACAGAAGTGCTTCGACTACCTCATCACGGACATCTGTCTAAACCTTGCGCTGCACGCGGGGTGTCCACAAGACATCGTTACTGTCCGCCGAAAATTCTACAGACACCACAAACGCTACATCCGCATGAACGGAGCGTACTCCAGGGACCTGGCCAGGACAAACGGTCACCTCCAGGGCAGCTCGTGGTCCCTGGATGACATCAAGCTGCTCATGTGCGTGAGGACAAAGAGGCAGCACCGATACGTTCCTCGATCACTCAGCACTACCTTCGTTGACGACAGCAACTCCACTACCCACACCGCCTCTGAGCTGCAGAAATCTCTCGACGAAACCGCCAAGTTTGATCGATTCTCAGGTCAACGCATTCACCCTGGTAAAGTGGCAGGGTGGGCGCTCACCGACGAGCTTCACGCCGCCGTTACCCAGCTCACACTGGCGGATCGCCACCTACGTGTGGTCGATTCCTTCAAGCTCGTCGGGAGTTACATCAACGCAGAGGCAGCGCCGGCTCCAGCCGCGCTTAACCTCACGGCCACCGCAGACGCCCGTGTACGGAGGGCGACTATCCGCCTGCCGCGCATCGGCAAGCTCCCGTCGCCGATGCTTATCAAGGCGCGGCACGCCCGATCCCTGGCTGCCAGCGTCTGCACCACGGGCACCGACATTCAAGCACCATCAGGCCCAGCCAAGACTGCCTACAACCACGCCCTCAAGGCGGCTATCCGCCCCAAGGGGAACACGTGGGTCGAGTTCTGGACTCTCATGGCCGTGTGCGTGCCGGGACACGCCCTTGAGATCGACGCCATCACGCAGCGTGAAGCATTCCTGTGCCTGCGTCGTCAGGTTAACCGCGACGTCACACTCTGCGGGCTCGCCAGAGACCTCAAACACCACGTCCAGACCCTGTTTGGTGGAGGACCCGTCGGGCGACTCGTCCAGTCGCTCCAGCAGCTCCGATGGACCTGGCCCACATTTGGCATCATGTACGACGACTGGGGCTGCCCGATCAGCTGGCTGAATTTACCCCAAAACGCCTTCCTGCACATGCTGCGGGCCTCACAACGCAGGGCATTTCTGCGGAGGATCAAGCCACGGCGACACGACCTTGGCTACCTCGCCTCTGTCCGACAGGGCCTTGACCTCTTCGCCAGCACGTGGCTCGCGCGAACTAAAGGAGCAGCCAAATGCACTGCCTGGCAGCTGGCGCTCCTCCTGAACTACCTGTCGGGCGGGGACCACACCCAACAGCGACGATCCCGATCAAACACGTCGGCAGACCCAGCCCCATGTGCCGCTACTGTGACGAGGAAGAGGAAACTCAGGAGCACACTGTCCGCGACTGTAAGTGCTGGGCCCGAGAAAGACTTCCTCTCACCACCCTCATCAGTGACGACCAGTGGGCCCGTCTTCCGCCGCACACAAGACACTGCGGGCTCTTCGACGAAGACCCAGCCCTCCTCGACCTGCAGGCCGACCTCGCGAGGGACCCGCTGCCACAGCCCATTCCGCGGCCCTCCCCTGATGGTGATCCTGCGGCTTCAGCCCAGGACACCTACACCACCTACCTTGACTACGACACTGGTTGGACATGGTCTATGCTGCCACGGACGGTGCGTGCACCAACCAAGCCATCCCATTGCTAGCACGAGCGGGCTACGGCGTCTACTATGACATCGACCACCGCATGAACTACAGTGCACGCGTTCACGGCCTAACGCAGAACGCCCAGGTTGCGGAGACCCTCGCCATTGTCCACCTTACGGCATGTGCCGAACGGCCTGTGCACGTTTTCGTGGACAACCAGGCGGTGGTCGATGGGTTCCAAAGCATCATCGACGGACATCCAGCGCCGCAGGGCACGCACGCGGAGCTCTGGGAAAATATCCACCGATGTGTTATGGCCAAGCCCAACATGTTTCGCGTCGAAAAAAATCGCCAGCCACCTGGGAGACCTGGGCATCGACCTTGGGCTCATCGGGCCCATCGCGGAGGAGTTCAACCGTCAGGCCGACGCCCTTGCCACAGCGGCGGCACGCACGCACAACCTCCCCGACGACATTGTTGAAGCTGCCAATACACGACATCGCCAAGCGACCGTGCTTCATTGGGTCGCTGTCGCTATCTACGAGCGCAGACACCGTACTCTGCCGCTCCCACACCGCAGGGCTGGGTTTACAGCAGCGGAACTCAGCAAAATGGAACCGAACCCCCTGCTGTCGGACCAGGCACCCCCCGCGGCTGGACCATACATCCCGCAGAACCCGGATGAGCTCTGGGCCGAGGCCCAACGGGCGATGCACGACGAACAGGAGGACGACCCGTTCGGCTTCGGCGGGGGATTAGACTTCCTGGACGACGGGCCAGCCAGCGCCTACCCTGCCCCGTCGGGCAGCCTCTCGACGCCCACCTCGACTCCGCCACCGAGAGCGACATCGCACCCACATGATGACGTCGCTCACCGTCAAGACGCCGACGAGGACCTTTATGATCCCCTCGGATTGAGTGGCAGCATAGACGACGCCCCGCCGACACCCCACGCTGCGGACGATGCCGCTTCATCGAGACGCCACCCGACCACGCGGCCGACCTCCGAGCCCTCGCACGGCATCATGATTGGTCCCCCCGTGCCACCCACCCCGTCCCCCCACCAGCGCCAGCCCGCGGGGGCGGCTCCAGCCCCCCCGCAGGGCACTGAGCCAGTTAGGCCGTCGCACCCCGTCCACGCTTTTACTGTTGCTGGGTGCGAGGCTGCGGCTCCTCCGTCCTCACGGGGCGTGGCCCTAGCGGCTTCAGCCCTGGGACCGCGCGTTGCCCTCCAGTCGCCTCGCAAGGGCGACGGCCGCCAGCACACGGATCGCCGCACCGCGCTGGTCCACCACCTGGCCAGGCGCACCGATGACCTCGTCCCCGCCACGAGGCCCGCGGCCGCGGGCACAGAGCAGCCGCCCCTCACCGACCGCGAAGCCGAGCTGTCCCAGTCTATGGCCGCTCTTCAGCAGAGGTGTGCTGCTCTCGCCACCGACCTTGCCGCTGCTCAAGCCCGTCAAGGCCCTCTGCTCCGGCGCCTCCACCGCGCCGGGCGTGCCTTCGCCGAGCTGCTTACGCCCTCGCCCGATGGTGCTGCGCCGCCACTCACCCTCCATGCTATGCTGTCATCGCTCCGCGGCGCTCCGCCTGGAGCCCCGCGCTAATCTCCGCCATTCTGCTTGCCCGTGTGCACGCGTGGCCCCGCGTCCACGGTGTCAGGGCGTGGGGGCGGGGGGTGCCCCGTCCCTGCGCGCCGCGTTGCGGCCAAGCGCCCAACTGGCGGTCTGCCAAGCCGCCTAGCAACGTGTCAGCACGTCGCCTTTCTTGTTGGGGCCTTCTTCGTCACGCGGTCTGACACGTGAGATCTTCACCGTCTGTCCGCCGTCTGTAGCGTCTGTCGCATTGCGCCGGGGGAGGGGGTTTGTTGCCCGCCCTCGTATCTCAAGGCTGCACCGCCGCAAATAGTGTTTGGCGGGTTGTCGCACCGCAGTGCGCCTCGCGGACGGACCCTGGTCCGCCTACTTGTCCGGTCTCTCTCTCTCTCTCTCTCTCTCTCTCTCTCTCTCTCTTCTCTCTCTTCTCTCTCTCTCTCTTTTTTTTCCCTCTCTCTCTCTCTCTCTCTCTCTCTCTCTCTCTCTCTCCCTCTCTCTCTTCCAGGATCCGGGGAGGCCCAGGTCGCCGCCCGCCCCCGAGACGAATCGTCGAGGAAGCGCGGCGAGCGCGACGGACGAAGGGGCCAGACGCGACGACGGCGAGAAGTCGTCTTCCACGGCCCGTTAGCGTCGAGAGGCCGCGACGAGCGCGACGCCCGGACGCCGTGCTGCATCCGCGGCCCGTCAGCGTCGATCAGCGACCCAGACTTCCCCTAGACTTACTCCGTCGAGCATCGCTGGGCATCTCAGTGATGACCTGCGCGGTCACGCCCTGGCCTCGTTTCCCCGCGACGCGGGGGAGCTGGTGAGCGCGCTGCTGGCAGTGGAGTGCACGCGGGCCCGGGAATTCACGGGCGGGGCCCGGCGCAATCATCTGCGGCCAATCGAGACGCCCGAGAGGGGCCAGGAGCTCCACGAGCACCATGTCACGCGCGGGCACCCGGTGACGCACTCGAGGTGGGGCGCGAACGGGCGTGCCCAGTGGTGGAAGCGCGGCGCTTGCGAGCCGCGCTTAGGACGTCGCCCCACGGGCGCTCAGTCGGCCGAGTTCCGCGGCGGATTTCCGCGAGGCAACGAGGACCTCGAGAGCCTTGGGCCACGGGCGCAGGGCGACAGAGCTGAATGCGAGGCAGAGGGCGTCGCGCGCGACGCCGCGGCGGGGGCCGTCTCGAGCCGACGACGCAGCTGGATCGGGCAGGGGCGCAGCGGAGGAAGACGAGTTGCTTTCAGGGCCTGCGCCAGCGAAGATTCGAAGCCAGAGAAAGAGGATCAGCCGCGAGGAGACCATCGAGATGGGAAGTCGCTCTCGAAGAAGACATAGGATCCGCTGGCATAGCAAAAGGAGATGACGATGAGCATCGTGCGCGTGTCGGGGCATGAGGGCGCGACGCTGAAGCGTCTGGTGGAGTCGTCGCCCGGGAGCTCAGCGGCGCCCGCGCCGACGGAGGCGGCCTCTCCAGCCAGAGCTCCCCTGCCGGACAAGTTCCAGCAGGCAATGTCACGCCAGGGCTCGGGCGCGGCATCTCCGGCGCGGTCGAGTTTTATTGTTCCGCTTCCCAAGCAGGGCAATGGGATTTCCAAGTCCGGGGGCGCCCGAGACTTAGAAATGGTTCGTGTCTGCGAGGTGCCCGCGGCGCTTGTCGAGCAGAAATGCTGGCTGGACTTATTAAGTGTGGGAGACGCAGTCAATTGCGATTTCGGTATTCTTCTTCCACGGAGGTTCTGCAAGACGGCCATCTCGCCCCGCCCTTGGGAACTTTCAGAGTGGCAGGGGGCCCGGGGTTCCATCCAGAGGCTTCCTGGACGCACGCCCCCGCGCGGCGCCGCTGGCGCGGAAGTTTCAAAAAATGTGCGGGCGGCCTGGGAAGTCGGGGGCCCAAGACTTGTCGGGACTTTCGCCCGGCGAAACGCCAGAGGGAGGCCGGCGAGCGGATCCGCGCCGAGGGGCTTTGGACGGCGTTGCTTGAGCCCCCATTGTCGAGCGTTCTCGTGGACCCACTCTCGCGGGGCGACTGGGGGGGGGGCCGGGCGGGGAAGTATTGAGGGCGCGAGCTGAGGGTGCAGGTTCTCAAGTTTGCGATTGACTTGGCGCGGGCTCTGCGCTATGCAGGGCGAAAGTTCATCTTCGAACGGCCTCGTGGAGCGTCGTCCTGGGGAGTTGAGCTTGCGACTAAGCTGGCCGATCAGCATGGGGTGCGCTATGTCCTAAGTCGACCTGTTGCTTCGATCTCTCCGCGCCCCCAGAAGGAGTGCCCGCGGGGCCCGCGGGCATCCTGACTGACTGCCGAAATCTACTGGAGCCCTGCTGCGGTGCAGATGCGAGGGGCATCGCGCCCATGCACCGCGCGAGGGAAGCCCCCGCGCTGGAGCAGCTCAGGCCCATCCACTTAAGCTCCGCCGCAGGCTGGCGCTGTGCGCGGGCGGGAGTGTCAAAGCACAGGGAGTTGGAGACAGGGGCCACTGCGCGCGCCGAGGTCCGGTCGTTCCCAGAACCCTTCGGGAACGAAGAAGGGGCCGGGAGAGGAGGACGCGGGGGGGGGGGCGATGAGGAGGGGGAGGATGAGGGGGGGGAAGGATCCGCCCCGCAGGTTCCCAGCGAAGTTCGGGGGCTGCTGTCCGTCTCGGTCGAGTAATGACCTTCGGTCGAGTGGCGAGTCGGGGCCCCGGGGGCCGTCGGGGGAAGTCGGCGAAGGGTTCGATGTTTCGGGGCGACGCGCCAGCGAGAGGGAGGCATTCCCGTTGCTCCCATTTCCAAGGAGGAGGGGGAAGAGGGCCAGGACCACGGCCGAGAAGCTCAGGAGTTCCCCTCGGCCATGGATATTGCCTCAAAGATCCAGGGCACGATGTGCAAGGTCCACGCGAACTTCGGGCACCCCTCTATAGAGAACTTGGTGAACGTGCGAAAGGCGGCCCAGGTGAAACCAGGGGTGCAAGTCTATGTGAGGAGGCGCTTTCAGCGCCCCGACTGCGCTGCCCATCGTAAACCCTCGGACTATCGCAGAAGAACTTCACCGAAGACCCACCTGTTCAACCGCGCGCTCAGTGTAGATTCCTGGCTTATACCCATTCGGGGCAAGACGCCGCGCTATCTGCATCTGGTCCACCTCCGAACCACCTTTTATATAGCCCCTTGTCAATGTGAGGGTTCTGCAGAATGTTGGGACGCCCCCGCGGCGCCGCGGCCGCCCTACTTCGGCCCCCCGGTGCTCATAATGCGCGACCGAGGCCCAGATTTAGATTTCGAGTAGTTCTTTCGCTAGGGGGGCAGAGCGCGAGGGCCCGATACTTCGCGCAGTTAACGGGGGGGCCCCATGGGAGAACGGCAAGGCTGAACGACATTGGGGGGTGGGCAAAAGACCCGATGCCCAATGGGCTGGGTGATCGGGCGGCGTGGGGCGACGGGGGCCCGGGCGCGCTGCTGCGCCGAGTCGCGAGCTTTAATGGAAGATATCCTCGCCTTGTCAGCCAACGCCAACTTGTCCTGGGACAGAATGCCCGCCTGCCCGGCGACGCGCTATCCGGCGACGCCGTCAACGGATCGGCATGGCTGATTTGATGGAAACTACTTGGGATCAGGGCGCCGCGGCCGCTACCTTCGCCAGAGACGACTCAGCCAGGGAATGCGCAAGGCGTG